CGAATCTCTTCACCCAACACTTCTACTCGAAATGGAAGTAATGCCAACAATTATGAAACAAGAGATTCCTAGAAACCCAACTTTTCTTCGTATATTTTTTTGACTTTTTGTTTGCTCTGAACTGGATGAGATTTGACCCACTGAGAAGCGAAACGAACCAGTCTTGCTGTTTCGCTGGTTGCTAGGAGTGCAGGCGGGCTCGGAGAACTCTGCAAAGTGGGCAAATGCTGAGCCAAGAATGATGGATCCGATTGATGCTGCTGTCGGTCATCATCAGAACATTGTGTGCCGAAGAGTTCAGTATGCGAATCCCATCCACGCGACTATTCTCATACAAATAAGACAAAAGCACCACAAGACACTTTTGAAGCACGGCTCTTTCTCATGCGTCCTCATGAAAGCCTGCAGTTTGAAGCTTGGAGTAATTATTCCACACATGAATTGTGTTCGTGTCGAAAGTAGAAATATCACTAATGCCGAGGCCAAGAATAAGATAATATAACTGCTAGTTAAATGTGTAATCTAAACATAAGCCATACACACTACTTTCGTGCCCAATCAGTAGTCATGTAATAAGAGAAGTACCACTTGTGACCATTTCCCGAAGGATTCTAACGAAGAGGGCTTTTCCCACCATGCTTACACATAACCCCAATTTCACAGTGACCATAAACTAGATTCTCATCACCAAATAATCTCAGGCATATGTGTAGATCTGACTCGCATGGAGGATCATATTGACATTTAAAATAGGATCCATATCCCTTTCAAATCGTTGGCATCAAAGTGTGGACATTACAACTCTTACAATTGATGAATGTTGTCTGTCATACAGTGTATGAAATTAAACATATGCGAATTTCGATGAATCTCCCGATTTATCATGATTGAGTTGACTTTACTTTTGTGTGAAAAATGTGATGAGATGTTGCGTGGTCTTGGTCTTTTTCTGCTGACGCAATCCTCGAATCACACTCCTCATGTTCCTGTAGCTCTCATCTGTTCTGCTGCTCGACAGACGTCATCAGGCCAACAACTCAATTCGAATAACCATACCAAGTTTACAACAGGCCAAACAAACCGATCGGCACATCCCCGTATGCTATAGATACTCACAACAGATTAATTTAGTGAGGTATGAATAGACTAGGCCAGCCCATCTTCTTGCTTATCTATGCCCATGCACATTTGTGTTCAATCACGTGCATTTGCATGTCCATGTGTGTCTGTTTATGTGTGTCTGCGAGTATGTGCATAAACATGAGGGTTCTAAGGCCCGGTTATCGTTTTGAGAAGTTAGAATAGAACGCTACATTCGACCTAGAT